TGTGTGTGTGTATGTGTGTGTGTGTGTGTGTGTTAGTATTATATATATATATATATATATATATATATATATATATATATATATATATATATATATATATCCAGTAATCTTCTTATCACCATTGAAAAGTTAGTTTGCGAAAATACTGTATTTTTGGTTTGTGGTAAGTATAGGATTTTTCGACGTGTTTGAAGAAGTAAAATAGCGGACAGTTGTATACGACAGGCTTACCGAGATTCAGCTGCCATGCGAGGATATTTCTTCTCGAGCGTTGGGATGAGAGTTAGTTGTTTGGGGTTAGTTTTTGTATCAAACCTTTCGTATACTCACTTGACTTGCGTGCATCGATACAAAGACCTAATACACTGTACCCGCAGGTAAGCTACAACCCGGGGGGACTCTAGTTCAAGGGACGGGCGGTAACACGGGCATTTCAATGGCCATGATAGCAGCCTCGAAGGGATACAAGTGTTACATAACAATACCAGAAAACATATCCACAGACAAGATCGGCATGCTAAAAATGCTTGGGGCGGAGGTCGAGGTAAGCGCAAACGCACCGTGTATATACTAGAACATAACATTGGCATGATTTACCTGCAACTGATTTTTTAACTTGGATGGTATTCTTCCTGTACGTGTGAATCTAAAGCTACTAGTATGATGACGTCAACCTTCTGATATCCCCTACTTTACTTCTACACCAATACCCAGTTACTCAAACCTGCTAATAAACCGTTTCTATATCCAGCATTGGTTTCTAGCGCTCGAACTTACCTCTCTTGAATGATGTACCCCTATGTTATATTAAAAATAGAGCTGCCCTTGTGTCCCATTTGGCGATGAACGACACTACATGGAGCGGGCGAAGAAGTACGCCGCAGAAACACCGGGAGCAGTACTTCCGGACCAGTTTGAGAATCTGGCCAATTCTGCGGTATGTTGGGCGTGCTTTGAGTCTTGTTGCATCTGAAAGGATTTGGAGAATCAGTTAGTTTGACTATGTAGATACTTGAATTACGTGCTTTGAGTCTTGTTGCATCTGAAAGGATTTGGATAATTGATTAGTTTGATGATGTAGATACTTGAATTATGTGCACATAGCAACCAATGCAAACTGAATGCATTCTAACTGTTGCCCTTGGATGAACTCTCTACTGGTGTATATACGCACTCTATTCGATTGCATCCTTTTATGTTTAAATCTGACCTTGCCACTTAATTCACTACCTGTGACAAATCTGCCCACATGTATTCATCCTTTTTACCACCCACACGTGTAGACAACCCTTGATTGACAACCACACTTATATGCTCACGCATGTCACCCCCAGCCTCACTTCTACACCACACAACCCTTGATTAACAAGCACACATCCATATACACCCATGTCACCCCCAGCCTCACTTCAACACCACACAACCCTTGATTAACAAGCACACATCCATATACACCCATGTCACACTCAGACTCACTATAGCACCACACAACCCTTGATTAACAAGCACACATCCATATATACCCACGTCACCCCCAAGCTCACTTCAACATCACACAACCCTTGATTAACAAGCACACATCCATATACACCTATGTCACCCCCAGGCTCACTTTAATACCACACAACCTTTGATTAACAAGCACACATCCATATACACCTATGTCACCCCCAGGCTCACTTTAATACCACACAACCTTTGATTAACAAGCACACATCATATACACCTATGTCACCCCCAGGCTCACTTCGACACTACAGGCCCGGAAATCTGGAGTCAACTCGGGGGAGGAAAAGGCGGTGTGAATGCGCAATTGGACGGCTTCGTATGTGCCGCGGGAACGGGTGGGACCATAGCGGGAGTGTCTCGATATCTCAAGATGCAGTGCGTCATGAACAGTTATGAGAAGCACAATCCGCACCAGAAGAGTGTGGCGACGTACCTCATAGACCCCACGGTATGGGTGTGGTGTGGTGTGGTGTGGTGGAGTGCGGAATGTTTGGGCTGCCCCACATATTCCTACTGTATCTTCGCTGCAGTAGCCAGTGTGGCCTTTGTATTAGTGTATCCAATAGTTGTGCAGACCATCTGCTACATATCTGGTAGGTTTATAGTTATGTGTGGTATGTATGGGCTGCATCACAGCTGTAGACCCTGTACCGCCTTGTTGCCTCGTAATCTGCAGTCGTCAGTGAGATTCGTCATAGTCCACCTTCAGTGCCGATCACATGGTGAATACGTAGACCAATATATTGGTTATGCATGGGGTCTGTAGGCGTCGCTAAACGTGAGTGCAACGCGACCCACTGTGTGTATACGTATGTTGTTATATATTTGTCTATAGCTATATACTCAAATATATATGTTCACGTTCTTGAAGTTTTTGGAACTTCATTAACTATATACCTGTCCCATTACGATGCATCCTTTGTGCGATGTAACACACTGTGTGTTCTATATAGGTTACCGCCGTTGTGTAGAACATCCATCACCATTATTTGTTTGTATCCCAGGGTTCCGGGCTCAAGTGCTTCGTTGAAGATGGCGTCTTCGCGTCGTCAGGTAGCTGCTTTATCGATGGTATTGGCATCTCACGCGAGACTGCAAACTTCAAGACAGCCAGTGTCGACGGGGCATTCAGGTACTATTTTAATTTTTTTACTTTGGGGGGCGATTTTGTGGTAGTATACTAGCCCAGCATGTATATATTTAATATATATATATATATATATGTGTGTGTGTGTGTGTGTGTGTGTGTGTGCGTGTACGTATATATATATATATATATATATATATATATATATATATATATCTATATCTATATATCTATATATATATATATAAATGCACCGATCTGCTGTATGGGCTTAAAATCGCTTTGACATCTATGTTCATTCTCATAATCAACATTCCTTCTACATCAAAACTGTGGCAATTTTATGTTCCAATTTTCTCTTCGTGAACGCTCCAACGTATCGTAACATCGCAAGTCTTCACATATGAGCCGTGCAATTTGCTTCTCCCTGGAGGGAGATGGGTAATTGCACCTAATTTACCATACCATTCTGGTACAACCAAGCATCTTACATCAAACTATGCCATAAAAGGAATAGGTACATGCCGAACGTATTTCTGGTACATTTGATGCATAAAAACTTCGGCACACATGTCAAGGTGATCACATTTGCAATAACCATATTTTGCGATACATGTCCGCAGCGAATTTTACTCGCCACTAGATAGTATATATATATATATTGGAATCTTCATTGATGCGCAGTTATTATACCCTTGCAAGCGACTGCATAGGTGTACCCAGGCACATGCACCCCCATATAAAAATCTCGCCAAGTTAAAAACAACCAGAACAGACAGGTAGATAACGCAAGCAAAATTCATCCATTAGTGCTGTACTATGACGCAAGCAAATTCAGCTATTAGTCCTTTACTATAACGCAAGCAAAATTCATCCATTAGTGCTGTATAACGCAAGCAAAATTCATACATTAGTGCTGTACTATAACGCAAGCAAAATTCATCCATTAGTGCTGTATAACGCAAGCAAAATTCATACATTAGTGTTGTACTATAACGCAAGCAAAATTCATCCATTAGTGCTCTATAACGCAAGCAAAATTCATCCATTCGTGCTGTACTATGACACAAGCAAATTCAGCTATTAGCGCTGTACTATACCGCAAGCAAAATTCATCCATTAGTGCTGTACTATAACGCAAGCATGTTCAGCTATTAGTGCTGCACACTCTTTCAGGGGCAATGATACGGAGGCTGTTGAAATGGCACACTTTCTGCTGAGAAATGAGGGCTTGTTCGTCGGTCCCTCCGCCGCCCTCAACTGTGTGGGTGCCGTGAAACTCGTCCGACGTCTCGCAAAACAGTGGCCTACTACGAAGGTGTGTTGAAATCGGATTTAGCCGAGGGTCGCAATTTGATGTGTTGTCCCAATATTGGCAGGCCTGATATTTGAATTTAGACATGGATGCACCGAAACACTACACTCCTCCACTATGGGGTCGTGCCCGAATTGTTCCTCGCACCTTTAACCCGTTTAGCATATCTCTCGCTGCTGGACGAATTTGTTCTCCTGTTTTACTGTACTACGGCTTTACCACGGTGATCAGGGATAGCCAAATATTAAAAAACTTTACACTGTCCAAACGCCAAAAGTTTTGTTTGACAATCTTTTTTTGAAATATAAATTTGTGATCTCCCTCCGATAATTCAATTCCTGAATCTGTTTTCTGGCCACACTAAATATGAAGGGAGCGAGTACGGTGCACGAGGGAGCGGAGGCGAAAATCCCTATCACTGTGTGTACAATACTATGCGACAGTGGGGAGAGGTACAGAGCTACAACGTTCAATAGCGAATGGCTGGAGGAGAAAGGCCTAACGCCTACATTCGAAGGACGCGACATCTCGTTCGTCAAACAGGAATAGGTGTATGGAAATTAATAACAAATGCAAATACTTGTACGACCATAGTATCATATTATTATCACTAATGTATTGTGATTTTGTTGTTTGAATTCCGTCCGTCGCTAGCAGGTTGTTCATGTAATGCAGTAGAGCGCGAGGGATAGACATTGTACAATGAATGCGATTGGCGTGCTGGGTGCGCAATTAATCCAAAAATAAATAAATAGCCTCCTAAATTAGATACAATACCATGAAAGTTAAACTGTTGGCGAAGCTATAAAACTAAACAGTCATAATTTTGATCGACTACCAGTCCGTCCTATTGCATCTCCACGACTACTGCACTACCAAGCACTTTATGCTCGTTCCATTTCGAACATACCTTCACATCGACAGGCGTACCACCACTGGATGCCCTTCACATCGACAGGCGTACCACCACTGGATGCCATTTACGACGACTTGCTCGCACGTCATGAGTCTTTCCTTTCCTTTCATCGGTATAAACCAGAATTACCAAAATAGTCATGTATATCAACTGTTTATTTGCTTAGATACTGCAAAATACTAAAATCAGCACAGGACTACTCTCGTTCTCATCGCCACGGCCCCGTGCATTACACCGCTTATTTTGGGTACTCTTATGTGTCAATTTTTATAGACGTTTCTTCTAAAGTTAGACGGAGCGCTGGCCAATCAACCGTTATCATCTTAACCAATACCCACCCACACGTGTATCCTGTGAAGCCAAATACAAAGTTCGAGCTCTGACTCCAGATATGAAATGGCATTGTCAATCACCCTACCTACATCACACTCCCTCTTACCACACGGCTCGCGCGTGGATTTCCAGTCGAGACTGAAGCACCGTTGCGCGGACGGCCCAAAGAGGAGGCGCGTGAGATGGAACCCTGGAAGTGGGGGTTGACCACATCCTTCTGTACAAAGAACACGGGCTTCTCCTCGTCCATAACGTACTGTAACACCATCTTGATCAGATCCATGGGCACATACCATATAATGCACCAGATCCAGGAGATCAGCACCCAGATTCCGCACCCCAACAAGGATGCATTGAACCTACTCTCGTTATCTCCGGGAATGGGTGCGGCTGCGGTGTAGTCCTCGCAGTACACACATAACTGCGATGGGTCGGGTCGTTCGTAGCCATCGAACCCAAAGCCAGCGATAAGTGAAGACACTACCTGAGAGAATATGAAGGCCGCCAAGATGGACATACCTGGTCTATCCATCCACGAGATTTTAGACGTGCGTGTGATGAAGATCAGAGCCATGCCACTGATGGACACCTGACTGTACATCAACGCACGAAGTCGACTCTGTCGCTCCCAGGTGACTTCGGTAACGCACAACGTGTAGGCTTGGGTTCCGGCTGTGATGATTGCGCCCGTGGTGGCGTCAGTTTGTGTCAGGCAGTAGTTCGATGAGTCTGTGTAGTACAGTGATGGTGAAAGGTTCAGAGCTGACCCGCCCTCGAAGAAGTTGGTGTGTGACGCAACATAGAAGAGGACCCAGGAGGACAGGGTTAGGTATAGGCCGTAGATAAGTCCCGCAATAAACAGCTTCTTCAGGAACCACGCATCCGGGTTATGGTTGGGTGAAACACGATCTTTGGACAGTGAAATCATGGCACCATCATTGAAGATAGCCAGCAGCACAATCAGGATGGTGGGGAAGTACCAGTTGTAGATGGTGGTCAGTAGACCGAAGGTGAAGCAGATACGGAACGTCATGGCGATGGTGTACTGTTATGATAGAGGAGGGGGATGGGGGGAGGAGAGGTAAACGTGAGTAATTATGATCGTAAACTAGCTCGGTTTAACATGCATGATATTAGATTTCGTTAGCGTGAAACACACGTAGTAATACCCGGCATGCACAGGCAAATAGGAGGCATTTAAACGAAGACTTCAAAAACATAAATCCTCAGTCTCTGATACATTGTCACTCCAAACAAGCAAATAAGTATACTGCGCATACATGCAAATATTGCGACAATTTAGTGAACACTTCACACGGAGAGAATAATTCAGTCAAGTCTGTATCCGTACCTTGGCGTATGACTTCATTCTTCCGAAGATCTTCCTGGCTTCGATAATCGCATGGATGATCACACCAAGTCCACTTTCTGTTAGTACGATATCCGATGCCGCCCGGGCGGCGTCAGTAGCGTCTGCAACGGCAATTCCAATGTCAGCCTTCTTCAAAGCCGGGGCATCGTTCACCCCATCACCAGTCATTGCTGTGATGTGGCCCATCTTCTGTAAGCGAGCGACAATCTCGTACTTATGTTCAGGGAAAACCTCAGCGAAGCCGTCAGCTTGTTCGATGAGATCGTCGAGTGTGAGAGCTCCTTTAATAAGTTTGTGTTCGCCATGCCCCTCGTTGAGTACCTCGGTTGTGTACATGTTTGTTCCCATACCTAGTTGTCTGGCTGTCTCAATACCGATGGGAAGCTGATCTCCTGTAATCATCTTGACTCCAATACCCAATTCAATGCACTTCTCGATCGTGTCTTTGGTATCATGACGAGGGGGGTCGAAAATAGGAATAAGTCCCACAAACTCCCATTTCTCACTGTCTTCGCCCATTGATTTGCCGACTCCCAAAGCCTAAAACCGAAATAGCAAGTCAGTTAGTTTAAAAGAACCGCGTTGTGTTTGCCGTAGATTGTTCTGTCGGATGAATGTGCTGCTCACTACTTCAGATATACGAACTATTGATGCTGCTAAGCAGGGGTTGTAAAAGAGGATCCTTGACAGAATGCGCAACGCATTCTTCTAGAGATAACCGATTGTGATTCTGTCTTGTAAAATTCAATGTCATCTACGAGCTATTGATGCTACTAGACATAGGCGGAGAACATTGGTCCATCTGCCGTAAATTTCTATAGCTTGTAGAGACTGTAGAGATAGCTGGGTGGGATGCTACATCTATACACATTTGTATCACTCGGCGCCCTAAAGATTCTAATTGGCTCTTGTATGAGCATCAGTACCTTTTTCCTTTAGTCATACGCACGTTATTCTTTAGCGAAGGATAAATGCCGCGAACACTACGACAAGACCGTATACAACTTACCCGATAACCACGTCCAGCGTACTCCAGAATAGTGTCCTCGAATTGGTTCTTAATCTCTTCGTAGTTGTGAGCCATTTTCAAGATCACCTGCGGAGCGCCCTTGGTGCAGCGAAATATTTCACTGCCGTCTTTGGGTTTGATAGTCGCGATTGTCCGCTTGTCGTTCGGGTTGAATGGTACATACTTGATGCATGTGTAGTTGTCCCAAAGTGTATCTTTCCCGTCGTATGCCTCGTGACAGCACAGATCAATTGGTTCTTCGTTCTCTATTTTAGCTCCCAATGCACCATAGAGGCAAATATCGCCTTGTGTGAATCCTGCGCTCTCTTGAGCTTTCAAGTTCGGCTTGTCCACACTCAGTTGATTGAGAGTAAGTGTTCCAGTCTTGTCTGAGCACAACATATCCATGCCGGCCATTTCTTCAATGGCAGTTAAGCGTGATACGATTGCCCCATGCTTGGCGAGAGCACTGGCACCCAGTGCGAGCGTGACGGACAGCACCGTGGGCATTGCAATAGGGATGCCTCCCACGATGATAACTAGCAGATTGGATAGTGTAGGACACGAGCCTTGGCTCCCGAGAGAACACCCATGATCGTAGTGACCAAACTGAACACCCAGCTCAATGACAGCCCAGAATATAATGGTTATAATGCAAGTTGCACCAATGGTTGTCATGACCTGCTGCAAATGCCCAGGATTCTCGGTACCATTTATGAGTGCAGCCGCTTTTCCAAAAAAAGAATTGGCACCGGTTGCGTAAACCAATCCACGTGTTTCACCCTGCTTCACAGTTGAACCGGAATAGGCGCATTCTCCAACAAATCTTTTAACTGGCAATGACTCGCCCGTTAGTGCTGCCTGATCAATCTGACATGGCTCTTGGTGATCCTCCCCGAGCAATTTAATATCTGCGGGAATTACATCCCCTAACCGTACCAGGATCACATCACCGGGGACGAGATTTATCGCTTCAATTGTGACTATAGCTCCATCTCGGTACACCTTAGCCTTTGGTGCCAGTGACGCTGCAAGTGCGGAAATAGCATCACCAGCTGCAGCCTCCTCCTTGTAACCGATCGCGGCATTTAGTAACAGGAGGATAATGATAAGAACGAAGTCTACGTAATCTAATAAAATGATTGACAGTATGGCAGCAACCTCCATAGCCCAACTTAAAGGATTCCATAGGAACTTGAAAAACTCCCATAGTTTGTTCTTCTCAACAGTGGGCAATGCATTTGGTCCATATTGTTGCAGTCTTTGTTCATACTCTTTAGTAGTAAGACCATCCTTACTCGATTCTAACTTACGCAGAGCTGCTTCTTGGGTTAAGTTTTTGTAGTCATTGTCTCCGCCGTCGCCTGTAGCCATGGGAACATCAACCGATGTGGGCTTAGGGGGCTCACAATTAGGTAAATCATGGATACTTGGATCCTTTTTTATAGTTAATTCCTCTCCAGCTGTAGTTTTAGGCTCTGGATGTAGCTCCTCTGCCGCAGCTGAGACGGGTTCATCCACAATAGCTTCATCCCGTGCGTCGGTTGGCTCTGTAGTATTAGAAGCAGTCGTCAATCCGTTGACTACGTTGGTATCGGTGATCGCCGAATCCGAGCCGGCGTCTGGTGTTTCGTTTGCCATCGTGAGATACTTTTGTGATCTCAGCAAGCTGCGCTCCTAACTCCTATAGCTATTGCAAATCCAGAAGGCTTTCTTTTTGTGCACACAGTTTACAACTGAATGTATGAGGGCGACCACTAAGAATATATATATCCGCTTACATAGTTGACCATGCTCTGGTGTTGTTTTAGACTTTTCGAAACTGACAAGGTATGTCGTATAAATAAAGTCGTTTTGGCAAATTCAATACTGTAAATATGTAAGTACAGTCGTACTGGATGTTATTTTAATTCGCGTAGCTCCCGGGCCCTTCGGCGGCCTCGGGCCAATAACATCCTTTGGGAGAGTAGTTGTACTATTTATTTATTTTATTATCTAACCAACTCCCCATTTATTTATCACTGTCTGACAATGTCACGATATTTACTAAATAGCGGCTTAGCCTCTGTATGTCTGTTTTTTAAATATGTATTTAGAAGGCTATGGGTCTCATCACTTTTTTCTTTCTTTTTAAAACAAACCATATATCTGCGTGTGGACTCTGCAGAGTCTGCACTCGCGACTGCAGCTCCAGCCTTCACTGACTGCAAGCCTTCTGTCTTCATTTCTAATTTTTGTTTTTTGAAAAACAACAATACAAAAAGCTCTTTCTATTTTTAGGACGCACCGTTTTTCATAGTTTTATAATATATTTTTTATTGGATTCTGGTTCTCACTCTGCTCTGGATAAAATCTACTATTTTTGGTTGTTTTTTTAGCAAAACAACATCGTTGTTGTGTGTTTTTTTTTTAACAAAATATGTTTTCTTTTGTTTTGTTGTTGTAAAATATTAAAAATTAAATATTTGTTTGATTTCAGAAGGCTATGAAATATTTGGCGAATATCCCCCTGTGGGCCTCTCGACTGACCGACAGTCATCACTGACATCAGCGCCGGACTGGCGGACCTTTTTTTCTTCTTTTTTTTCATAACCTTCTAAATTATTTATTTTAGATTTTTATTCAGAAAGTCTGACGTCCGTGATTTTGCTGAAAACTTGAAAAGGGTCGTTGTCCTTTCCGCCGAAGCGCCGCCTTGGCCGGCTGGCCCCTGGCCTGCTGACCCTACTCTACAGAGGTCCCGGTGACCTAGACTCATTGGGCCCTCGCTTTAAGCTTTTGCGTCGAATTTACACCCTTTCTTGCGTGCTGGACAGAGAGAACGCGCGCGACTGATGGTAAATATTTATCACTGAAAGCGTAAGCTTGTAAGTGTAGTCGTCAAAATGATCCTAGATTCTAATTTGAACCAGTATATATATACCTGAACATTTATGTCTAAAACCCCAATTTGATGCAGGGGTTTTTTTCTAGCACAAAACACAGTAGTTTTCTCAATTTCCAATTTTAAAATATGTACCTCGTCAGAGGCTCAGGCCTCACTGTCCCATTTTGATTTTGATTTTTAGGCTTTTGATACTAATAAAAAACTCAAAAATTCAAAAATTCAACCCATTTAGTATCGAGGACTCGAGGGAGTCCTCGACGGCCCGCGACCGGGGGTTAAAACTAGACATGTATTTGACCGGTTAGATATACCTTGTTGATGTCATGTATGTCATCTAAATTTAGGACATTTGTCGTAAATAAATCTGAAAAACAGACTGATATTTTCTGTTCTATATTATATTCAAATTGACCTAGAATCTGGTACAGATCAAATTAATCTGCAACCGATGTCGAATTGTAAATCGTTTGTATATAAATAGAGACGATTTGCACTCGAAAATTGGAGTAATTTTATACTGAAAACACAATTTTACAGAAATATTATCAGTTTGTACCACCAAGGTTGAAAACAGGTCGTTATTTTTTCTACAGGTGCTTCTAAATACACGTCATACATACGCAAAATTGAAAACTTTTAAGCCAAAGATAAAACATGAACTTCAGAAACCCATTGGTTCAATAATGTCGGCAAATTATACAAGACAAAACCAGTAAAAATAAATGCGACCGGCAAATTGTACATGACAAAAAAATGTAAACGACATAAAAATTAAAACCCGAATTCTTGGCACCTATGAATTGGCTATATTTTTTAAAAAAACAAATTGTCTTTTTTTATTGCACATGACAAAAAACACAATGCGACCGGCAAATTTTACATGACATAAAAACCGAATTAGAGTCCTATTGGATATTTGCATCCGAGGGCTCATGTTGAAAATAACCGCGTTCTTTGTCCAATAGGACCGTAGGTGTAAAAAAAATCACGGCACAACTCTTTGCTGCCTACGACTCGGTGGCTCGGTAAACAGACTTGTTGCACCTCTCGGCTCGCCCTTTGTCGACGAAAGGGCCGCCTAGAGAGGCTCGAACCTCCCGACACAAAAAAAGGACTCGCCTCAGCAAATTTCTCTTGAACAAAACGTTTTACTCCTACGGTCATATTGGAAAAAAAGTGCTGACTTTTCTGGGGATCCGAGATCGGGAACCTAATGTCGATTAAATTTTACCAAAAAAGCATAAATGCCAGAATCCAGATGAGCAAAATCAAACACTTCTTTTTCAAATCACATTTTTGATCTCGGGATTCTAGTAATCTAGTCGTTCTACAACCTAAACTTTATTACTAGAGTATATATATATATATATATGAAATATTACTGGGCGCGAACTGCGAGTACAATCAGCAAACTATCAGGCCTCAAAATTCGTTGTTTTCATTGCTGTAAGATCTGATATCAAAATTGACCAATCTTGCAAAATGGCTTAATGCAAACTATGTAGGTCTCGACTCTCGAGTCTCGACACTCAAATACTAGTAGTTCAAACGTTACAGAAAATCGCCATTAGGCTGCAATTTTTTATTCAATGCATATAAAACCTGTTTCGAACTTTCGACTTCCAGTGATCCAATCTAAAATCGTTATAAAATTTTAAAATTTACATCCTACTTCATTGGAATGTGAGCATTGTGAGGTAAATTTATATTCTTATAGTTTTATTTCTACAAAAAAGGTTTCATTTCTATTTTTTTTGTAAGTAATAAAATCCTGAAGGTCTCAGTAAATATATAATAAAACACGGCTGGTACGCCGCGGGGATGAAAACGCTTAATTATAGAGGTAATTTATTTTGTGCGCCGAACAAAAACAAAATTATACAAATAAATGTGGAGTCTTTCCTTCAGAAATAAGGAGGGACTCCATGGGGGTCTACAAATGGGTCAAATAACGTCACCGACAATTTTTAGCGTCACCGACGGTTTTAAGCGTCACCGACGTTTTTTGGGGACGGACAAAAAATCGGAGATAATGTTGACAGGGACTTAGAAAATTTTACGCTTTCAGTAATAAATATATAGTACACTCGTCGTGTGCGGTAAGACATCCAGCACCGCGATTGACCTTTCCTGGACAACGCGGGCGGGTTCGGACAGTCGGTACCCTTGGACATTCTGTCCGAAGCCCAAACGTCTAAAGAGATTTTTACTCTCCCCCGGGCAACAAGTACACGCAACTTGACATGCGAAATCTGAATGATGGAAGGTAATTCCGTCGAGGCAAGCCGTTTGCATGGAGTGTGAAAGGGTAGTAGCCACATGATTGCGATCTCTGGCGATACCGCGCCAGTATATGCGATTGACGACCAAGGCAAAGATTGTCACTGCATATTGCGGCAATGGGGGATGACCATCATTGCATTGTCAACAAACGTCTTCAATCCAAACAGAGTTATTTCCGCTTATTCTTCAGAGAGACAAAATTCTTTCAGCGATGGATGTGCATATGCGACTCTACAGGGATAGAGATATACAGTCTCACCGCTTGTAGATCATGTTGTAAGAACAGTAGACTCCCAATAGTAGAAGCACATACAAAACTTATTTTCTAAACGTATAAACTTTAAACGTTATCCAGTGAAAATGCTGGGACAGATACGTCGAAACATAATTGCAAGACTTATAATTCATTATATCGGTCCCCGAACTAGTAAGTGGTAACTATTCTCGTCCATGTGAGTCTGACCCAGTTGATTGAAAAAGATTACAAATCAGCATTATCTAGCAATACTCCACGCATAAACTTCTTCATTTTTCTTTGTCGCACACCTTATTAGCACCTTGCGTCTGAGGTTTATAAATTACAGCCATCATATGACATGTGCCTGTAACGAGAATCAGTGTCTTCATAACACCTTCTGTAGCCTCACTACTGGCTGCAACGAGTAGTAGTGTCATCACAACATATTCTGGATCCTCACTACCGTTGTCAGTACTTATTATGTTGACCTGCTAGAATCAGCGAAACATTTATAGATCCTCTTCGCTACAGTTTGAATTGATACATGATCCAAGAAATATAATACGCTATATCGTGAAGCAAGATCAAACATGTGACAGACATACTCATATTTTGTATGTTCAGACATGGACTGCTCAACAAAATCAATGATAGCCCAGTGTGACGGCTCATTGTATTTTAAATACTCTTTTTACAGGCGCAAATTTGCTGCGTTCTATCTGTTTAATTTTTCAATCATTTCATATGTTGTAGATACACTTCAAACGAATATATTAATTAAAATTCAAGTGTAAAATTACGTACATTTGCAATATTTTTCAGTTCTAATCTTATTCATATACTCAAAGGCATGACTCTGCCTTCACCATTTCAGAAACGTACTATTGCAGTCTTTTTCAGTTCTAATCGTATCCATATACTCAAAAGCATGACTCTGCCTTCTGTACCATTTTAGAATACCTTTCTCAAATTATTTCACTGCGTCATCCTTTAGACTTGAAGACTTTTCGACCCAATCTCAATAGAAGATTTTGAGGCAAGTATCCGATCAACGTTTGATTTAACCATCAGTTGGTTATATGATCATATATAACATGAAAGTTGCTCCTCAGCTACTTAAGAGGTTTGTTCTTGTGTGCTTCGTAAGCAACTTCTCTGTTTGAGCGTATCTTCTTGTAGAATGCCTTCGATAGCAATGCACTTTTCTTTGATTGTGTGGAATCAGATCATACCTCAGTAACATGTACTGCCGGTCCTTGTGATGCCTTGGTTTCTATTTGAGGCCTGGTAGTGAGAGTGGTATTTTGTATTATTCAATATT